GTGAAGCTTACCAGCCCCCCAGTCTCTAGCATTTTTATAAGCTAAGATAGAGATGTGGCAATATAGTTGCTATGGTAAACAATTTGGTTGCTATGGAGGAGTTAGTGACATCATGTTGTAATCTACTTTCCATTTAGACTAATATAAAGCAACCCCCATGTCTCTACTGTGTTCTGTTTAGAAGATATTTGACATCGAAAGTTATGTCAAAAGGTGGGTGTGGCTTAATTATTTTATGTTAAATCACAAGCAATGATTGGCTGGATAAGTGATTTGCTTCCTTAATACTATTATGACTTTCCAGTGTCAATCAATTACAGAAGCTCTTTTACAATAGGATCTATGGGATTCATGCTCCATTCATTTCAATGGGCCATTGAAAGTCAATGAGACACCTTTGACCTACTTATTTGAAATCAGCTGCACCTGCTGAAGTTATCAACTGTCAGATTTTCAAACGAGTCAGCTGCAGCTGGAAAGTCAACTGTCAGATATTCAAACGATGGCAAATCTGCTGGAGAAAATCCGATTTCCATGCCTCAAGCAAATAAAGATTATAGAAGAACCGTAAGACATATCGAAATGATTCTTTCTTTGTAAGAAGCAGAAGACCCTAACGAAGAGAATGCTGTAATTTTTTGTGAAGGTGTGATTAGAAATAAAAAAATTATGGCGAGCTACAAATAGCCTTCATTTGATTCTGTGCAACTGCTAATTTCTGAGAAATCCATACCTCCAAACAAATAAGGATTACGAAAGAAGGATAAGACACATTAAAATATTTCTTATACTGTTAGAATCACAAGATTTTAAGGAAGAGAATGGTGTAAATTTTGTGAAGCTGTGATAAAGTGTGAATGATTTATGGCGAGTTAAAAATAGCCTGCGATTGAGATTTTAAACAGAATCCACCAGAATTTTTGAATGGAGGTGAATGGAGCAATTATGTGCATTCGTTGTGGTTTAGGCCACCTGGAGTAAAAACCGTGTGTTTTTTAAAAATGAAAACAGCACCAACTGAAAGAGGACAAAAATCTCTACCATTTACATATAAAATGTGTGTGTAAAGGTTAATTTTTAGTTGAGAAAACAGTGCAAGTAGCAACAAGACTGAGCTTGCTCAAAGTTAGAGTGAGCGATGACATCACCACTCTAGGGCTCCCATAGGGAATGACTTGGGCGATTTTTGGGCCGAAATTCGCGATTTTTACGGAAACCGCTGGTCAAATCGGTCCGAAAAGACATAGCAACTCGAGTGGGAACAGTTTGGACGACCGTGGAAAGTTTCGTGGCTGTAGCTCGAACGGCCTAGGAGGAGATACAATTTGAAATTTGGCTCAGAAGAAGAAGAAGAAGAAGAAAAAGAATAACTAGATTTTAAAGTTTGCACGCAAACTTCGATGTTGGCTTGCGTTGGTGCCGTTAATACCTATTTTTTTAAAAATGTTGTCAAATCCGCAACAATAACATAATCCAACCCCCATGTCTCTATGATTCTCATAAGCTGAGATAGGTACATGCAAAATTGGTTGCTATAGTAACCAGTCTGGTTGCTATGGAGGGGTAAGTGACCTAACATATTGTTCCTCATGTCAACACGAGTAAAATACACCAAACTCATGTCTCTAAGACTTTCTTAAGCTGAGATAGAGCTGCGCCATATTGGTTGCTATGGTAACAGTGTGGTTGCTATGGAGGGGTCGCTGACCTAATATATTGTTCCCTATATGAATACGAGTAATTACAGCAACCCCCATGTCTCTATGATTTTCCTGAGCTGAGATAGGTACATGCAAAATTGGTTGCTATGGTAACCAGTCTGGTTGCTATGGAGGGGTCAGTGACCTAAGACATTGTTCCCCATGTCAATACATCAACCCCCATGTCTCTATGACTTTCCAAAGCTGAGATAGAGCTGCGCCATATTGGTTGCTATGGTAACCAGTTTGGTTGCTATGGAGGGGTCGCTGACCTAATATATTGCTCCCAATATTTATACGGGTAAAATACAGCAACTCCCATCTCTCTATGATTTTCCTGAGCTGAGATAGAGACATGCCATATTGGTTGCTATGGTAACCAGTCTGGTTGCTATGGAGGGGTCAGTGACCTAACACATTGTTCCCCATGTCAATACATCAGCCCCCATGTCTCTATGACTTTCCAAAGCTGAGATAGAGCTGCGCCATATTGGTTGCTATGGTAACCAGTCTGGTTGCTATGGTAACCAGTCTGGTTGCTATGGAGAGGTCGCTGACCTAACATATTGTTCCCCATATCAATACGGGTAAAATAGGGCAACCCCATGTCTCTATGATTTTCCTAAGCTGAGAGAGAGTCATGCCATATTGGTTGCTATGGTAACCAGTCTGGTTGCTATGGAGGAGTCATTGACATGATATAATGTTTCAGCTGTCAGTATGGGTGAAGCTTACCAACCCCCAAGTCTCTAGCATTTTCCTAACCGAAGATAGAGATATGCCAATTTAGTTGCTATGGTAAACAATTTGGTTGCTATGGAGGAGTCAGTGACATCATGTTGTAATCTACTTTACATTTAGAATAATATAAAGCAACCCCATGTCTGTACTGTGTTCTGTTTAGAAGATATTTGACATCGAAAGTTATGTCAAAAAGTGGGTGTGGCTTAATTATTTTATGTTAAATCACAAGGAATGATTGGCTGGATAAGTGATTTGCTTCTTTAATACTAGTATGACTTTCCAGTGTCAATCAATTACAGAAGCTCTTTTACAATAGGATCTATGGGGTTCATGCTCCATTCATTTCAATGGGCCATTGAAAGTCTATGAGACACCTTTGACCTACTTATTTGAAATCAGCTTGCACCTGGAGTTATCAACTGCCAGATTTTCAAACGAGTCAGCTGCAGCTGGAAATTCAACTGTCAGATTTTCAAACGATGGCAAATCTGCTGGAGAAAATCCGATTTCCATGCCTCAAACAAATAAAGATTATAGAAGAACCGTAAGACATATCCAAATGATTCTTTCTTTGTTAGAAGCAGAAGACCCTAACGAAGAGAATGCTATAAATTTTGTGAAGGTTTGATTAGAAATAAAAAAATTATGGCGAGCTAGAAAAAGCCTTTATTTGATTCTGTGCAACTGCTCATTTCTGAGAAATCCATACCTCCAAACAAAGAAGGATTACGAAAAAAGGATAAGACACATTAAAATATTTCCTTTACTGTTAGAATCACAAGATTTTAAGGAAGAGAATGGTGTAAATTCTGTGAAGCTGTGATAAAGTTTGAATGATTTATGGCGAGTTAAAAATAGCCTGCGATTGAGATTTTAAACAGAATCCACCAGAATTTTTGAATGGAGGTGAATGGAGCAATTAAGTGCACTCCTTGTGGTTCAGGCCACCTGGAGTAAAAACTGTGTGTTTTTTAAAAATGAAAACAGCACCAACTGATAGAGGACAAAAATCTCTACCATTTAGGTACAAAATGTGTGTGTAAAGGTTAATTTTTAGTTGAGAAAACAGTGCAAGTAGCAACAAGACTGAACTTGCTCAAAGTTAGAGTGGGCGATGACATCACCACTCTAGGGCCCCCATAGAGAATGACTTGGCTGATTTT